CTTTCTCCTCTCTCCTCCTGTGCCTTGCTCCGCTCTCTCTCCAACTCCTCTCTGAGCGCTTTCATCTCTTTCTCAGACCTCCTCAGCCGCTCCTGCCTCTCATCCTTTTCTCTTTGCTCCTTGTGGAGCTCCTCTCTGAGGAGAGTCGCTTCCTTTTTGCTCCTCCTTAGCTCCTGCTGGACCTCCTCCAGTTGCCTGTCATTCTGCAAATTTTTCTTGCTCATCAGCTCCTTTGACCTCCACTCCTCCTCTCTAGCTCTCAGTTCCTCCTGCATCCTTTCTTTGACCTCCTCCTTCTCCTTTCCCTTTCTTTTCACCTCCTCTCTGAGCTCCTCTCTCTCCCTCTGTGCTTCCTCTCTAAGGAGTGTCACCTCCCTGTCCTTTCTTACCAGCTCCACCTGCAGTTCTTCCTTCTCCTTCTCTAACGTCCTCAGCCTGGACCTCCTTCTTTCCTCCTCCAGGAGGTGGAGATCTTTCTCTGTTTCCTGTTGCAGCCTTCTCTCCTCCTTCATTTTCCTCAGTTCCTCCTCCAGTTGTCTCAGTTTCTCCTCTCTCTGCTCCTCCGTCTCTTTCAGCTGGTCCCTCAGCCTCCTATTTTGCTCCCTCGCTCCCTTCAGCTCCTCTCTTTCCTCCTCCTGTATCTCCTGCAGTTTGCTGACCAGTCGTCTCTTCTCCTCCTGACTCCTCCTCAGCTCATCGTTTTCCTCCTTCAGCTCTTTCATTCTTGCTTCCAGCCTGTCCTCTAACCTCCTCCTCTCCTCCTTCACTTTCTCCTCAGTCATTTGCTTTCTCTCCTCCTCCATTCTTCTCAGCCTTTCTCCTTCCCTCAGCTCCTCCTCCTTCTCCTCCAGTGTGGCCCTCAACTGCAGCACCTCCTCTTGTTTCTGCCTAATGCTCTTCTGGAGCTCTGTCGCCTCCTTCCCACGATGCTCTTCCTTTTGCTGCCACCTCCTTAGCTCCTCCTCGAGCTGCTCACAGGCCTCCTCCTTCTCTCTGGACCTCCTCTTTGCTCTTTCTCTCTCAACCTGAGCCTCCTGCAACTCCCTGTCCTGGGAGGAGATTTTTCTGTCTTTTCCTCCTCCCTCTTGTACCTCCTTCTCCAGGAGCGCCTGAGTTTCTGCCAGCAGTGCCTCCAGGTTCTCCTCCCGCACCTCCTTCTGCTTCAGTCTGACCTCCACTAGCTGCCGCTCCCGCTCTCCTTCCTCCTCTCGCTCCTCTGCCAGCCTCAGACGCTCCTTCAGCTTTTCCACCTCCTCCTCTCTCTCCCTAACAGCACTCATCTGTCGCTCCAGGCTGCGCTCCCTCTTTTCCACCTCCTCCTTCATCTCCTCCTTCTCCTCCTGGGCCACATTCAGCCTCACTCTTAGCAGCTCTACCTCCCCCACCTTCTCCTTCAGCCTCTCTTCTAGCTCCTTCTCTTCCTCCTGTTTTCTCTCCCTCTGTCTCCTCTCCTTCTCTCTGTCTTCTTGTAACCTGGAGATCTCCTTCCTCAGTCTCTTCACCTCCTCCTTGTCCTCCACAGCTCTAGATCTCCATGTCTCCTCCTCAATCATCAGCTGGTTCATCTCCTCCTCCATTTCTTTCTTTTTTTCCTCTAACTTCTCGATCCGCTCACAGAGCGCCTCTGTTTCTAAATCCCTCTGCATCTCCTCCTCTCTCCTCTTCTCCTCCTCCTCTGCCAGTTGGAGCTCTGTCCTCTTTATTTGCTCCTCCAGTTTCTCCTTCTCCTCCTCTGCTCGCTGCCTTCTCTCCATCATGGTGCTGATTTTGCTCCCTCTCTCCGCCACCTCCTCCCTCAGCCTCTCCACCTCTCTCTGTCTCTCCTCCACCTCCTCTGTCAGACCTTCAGTGCGCCTCCTCAGGGCCTCCAGCGCTCCGTCCCTAGTCCCCAGTTCTTTGTTCAGAGCTTCTCTCTCTTCCTGCCAGGTTTTCCTCTCCTCCTGCTTCTCTGCCTCCTGCTCAGAACTTCTGCTCCGCAGCGCCTCCACCTCCTCCCTCAGTCGCTCCATTTCTACATTCAACTCCTCCTTCTCCTCCAGGGTTCTTGCCCTCCTTTCCTTCTCGTCTTCTCTTCTTGCCGTTTCTCGCTGTAGTTCTCCTCTCAGACACTCGATCTCACCTTCAGACACAAACAGAAACACCAGATCACCTCCTGCTTCCAGGGAACCGCTCCTGTTCCCACCTCCTCCTCCTGGTTCCTTCTCCACAGTTTATGATCAATGATAGAGCTGGTATCGATTTGATTTTGATTTAATCGATTTTTTTACCCAGCCCTATTCAATGACTTTAGTTTTTCTACATAACAAGAATTTCCTGACGTTTGAAAAGACATCAGAGCAGATTTCTGGTTTTAAACTGAGCTTTAAAAGATTCAGAAAATCTTCAATCTGAACAAATTAGACTTTTCAGGAGGTGGATCTGATCCATGACATTCAGAAGCAAAACAGAGGGCGGGTTCACATGGCAGGATCATCTTCCCACCCTGAGCCCCCTATAAGCAGGGAGACAGAGTCAGCTGTTAGCATAGCATCCTCCTTAGCCGCCTGCTTGTAATAAACCTAGTGGTTAGGGCATAAAGCAAGGAATCCTGAAGTTCTGAGTTCAAGTCCCACTCCCACAGACTGCCACTCTGGGTCCCTGAGCAAGACCCTTAACCCCACACTGCTCCCCGGGTGCCGCACAATGGCAGCCCACTTCTCCCCCAGGGGAGGGGTTAAAGTTGTACGGAAACAGCCGTTTCATCTGTTGCATTTCAGAATTCACCCGTGCGGTGCACGACTTTACACGAGTGAATAAAGTGAATGTGATTGGTCGATTATCTTAGTAAATAAAAAATATGATCTTCCAGCTCTAATCCTGATGAACTGAAGGCTCGAGGTTTACTTCCTCAATCCCCCGTCACACCTTGAAGATTTAGACCAGCGTTTGCCTGAAATATGAAAAATCGGGCAAAGACGCAGCCATATGTTGGATAAGTTCTGAGCACGCCATCCTGCCGTCAGTTCCAGGTCAGTTATCTGATCATTGACATATGTTCAGAGTCAGTTCCTCAACAGCTTATCCTAAATCTCTGAGTATCTTGTGCATAACTTCTGCGTAACTTATCCAGAACTTCTCTCCAACGCACATAAACGTATCTGAGGTGTTCCAGACGAGCGCTGAACGTGTTTCTACCTTCCAGCTACTGTATAATGGCGTATTGGCAGCGTTTTGGTATAAAGGGGGTTCACAGGAGGAAAC